GGGACCGGGCCTTTCCCACCACAGAGCCTGGAGGATTTTGCCGAAGGATTTTCACTTAGGGGCAAACAGGCAGGGCCGTCTGGGGGCTTTAAAGGTGCTCCCCTTCCCCCAGGGTGGGGCCTCTGAAGCTTTCAAAGCCTGAAAACCTATGGCGAGGGAAAATGTGTCTCTCCTGTTTGAAAGTAGACTAGGGAGCGGCCCTTTTCTGGTTATGGAAGAAATGAATCCTGGGGGTTTTCATGATTGTTCGATTTTGTCACGTGATAACAGTATTTTGTACCCCAACCCGCCTATGGCTGGGCCCTGCTTGTCCAGGTACTCAGGACAGCCACCCGGGGCCTGGTCGGGCTGGGCCTGAATCCCTGCCGGGGGGCTGGGCGCTTGCCCGCCCTCTGCTCTAGGCCGAAGAATCCCACTGAATGAGTGGAAGCCAGATGGCACTTTCTGCATTCAACTTTGAAAAAGTCAGATTCCCTGAAGCCTTCACCATGTCTGTATCCCGGGCGGCCCAAGACAGGCTTCGTGTGTGAAGAGGGCGATGTTGTCACCTGTATGTGCGCCTCTCCTCTGTGTCTCAAGTTCTAGAGTCTGCAGACTCAGCTGGGTGCCAGGGGACTCTGGCCTGAGGGTCTGAGATGGGGCTCCCACTCCCTGGTGAGTCTCTTGGTGCCGACCCGGGCCACCTGTGAGTCAGACGGAGGACAGTTGCCCTCTGGGATGTTTGTGTCGGCCTCTGGCCTATTGCTCATTTGGTTGGTTGGTTGGTTGGTATGTCCAGCAATATGGCTTCTTCTTTCTGCCTTCCCCTTGACTGGTGAACCCATTTGGACAAAGCTGTGTTGCCTTCCTTTATCCCCACTGAAGCGGATGTGTTCCTGTCACCGGCCCTATCCAGACCATTCATCTAAACAAGTATCAAGGGGCCAGGGTGGGAGAATGTTTTTCTGCAATCTGTCAGTCCTTAAAAAACCAAACAAAACAGTGTGTGGCAGGGTAATTCCACCGTAGAACCCAGGGCACCGACCCCTGAGTGGCAGACACAGGTATTTTGAGGAGCACTGACCTTCACAAATATTTATACGCCCTCTGCCAGCACGTAACATGGAGTCATAAGGAAACCTAAGTGCGGCTTCAAAGTGTCTGTAGGAGGAGAAGCAGGAGAGTTGAATCCCCACCCCCCCCTTTCCTCTCTCTGGCCCTGATCTCTCCTTAACAACAAAAATGCCAGTGTCTAGCTCTAAAAGAAATGGCTATTCTTACCGAGAAAGTTCTTTTTGATGAGCGTTAAGAGAGTCCAGTTCACAGGAGGCTCACAGACAGCTAGAACTGTTCGTGAAGGTAGAAGCCGAGTCCTTCGCTGGGCCATCTTGGTTGGTCTTCCTGGTGGCTGGCCCCCATCCTGAACCTCTGGAGGGAAACGAGAGTTGGAAGTGTCAGGCAATTTCATGGTTTTTCTAGCTCTGCCAGGATATAATATATCTTATTATATCACACTGCCCGTGTCCACCGACCTGGGAAGGAAAGGTATCCCAGAAATCCCTGCTTTTCACATGGCTAACGATTCCAAGCTGGACTTTGGGGAGATCATGGTCCCCAGCACAGAGAAGGCATTTGGGGGGACGTTTACTTTGTGGGGACCCAAGCTAACTGAACTGAGGTCAGGCAGGGAAAATTCCAGACGGATACTATAAGTAGGGGGATCACAGAACCTATCATCTAACCCAGGACCACTTCAAGAGTGCAAGGAACCGGGGCCGTGGGGTCTTCAGACTTGCTGTTGGCAGGAGAGGTAGAGGTGCAAGGCCGGAGGGCTGCAGGCGAGGTCAGAAGGGCCGCGAGCGCACACCTCCCATGTCCCCACGGGCATGGTGGGGCTAAGCCACACCAAACTGCAATGGCAAACGTCCACTAGCCATGTGCCCAGAGGGTAGAAAGAAGATAGGGCTTTTTAATAAACACAGAGCGGCCTTCACCAGGCTGTTCTACAACAGGCCACCCCAGGGCCTTCACATTTACAGTTCCCACCATGCGGATTATTCTTACCCCAGAGAGCCTCCTGCCTCGCTCCTGACATTCCTGCAGGTCTCTGCTTAGAAGGCACCTTACCAGAGAGACGGGTCCACCGAGCCCTGTAGATGGTGACCCCTCCCCTCGCACCCTGCACTCCCTATCCCCTAACTACTGAGTGATAACTTAGCCCATCAAGGCCCTTCTTGACTACATGGGAAGAGAAGCAGACTCGAATTAAAATGAAAAATAAGCATATCAGGAACCCATCCAACCGACAAGAAGGCTGGAGAACCAAACACAGGGAATCAAGTGATCCAGCTCAGACCTGGTCACAAGGACAATGTGGTTTGGATGCCATCACCCAGGACACTTGCTGCCATGCCACCCATTCTTGGTTTCCCCTTGGGGTCACTCCCTCAAAGGTGGGGGCTTCTGCACGGCTTTATTGAAGTCAAGAGCCTGTACTCAGCAGCCAGGGGACAAAGGCAGGAGCCCTCTGATGGGAGATGGGGACTTGATTCCCTCCTGTCTAGGAATTCTCCACGTGAGAGGTGTTCCTGGAAGCCGGGTAGCCCACACGGGAAAATATCCACCACAGCCAGGTACCGGAATTCTGGGTTGATGGCATCATTCTTATGGTATGAAACTTCATATGGTGTAGATTTTTGTTGCAAAGAAGTTTGCTGTCCATCTGCCTTGTGTTCCTTTGTGGTGAATTTTCTATCTTCTGATAGCATTTAAGAATTTCCCTATGTTTAATGTACTACAGTTCCACCACGTGTGGCTAGATAGGAATTTATTTACTCTGCTTAGGACTCACTGTGCCTTTCCAAAATAAAGATGATTGCTTTTCTTCACTTCTAGAAAATTCCCACACATCCCTATATTCAATTATTACTCCCCCAATATTCTCTTCAGAAATTCATTGGCCTTTTCATTCTGTCTTCCATTATCTCTTTATATAGAGAGAGAGTCCTGTTTTCGAACCTCTGCACTCTGGGACATTTCTTCAAATTCGTTGTTCAGTTCTCCATTCCTCTCTTCATTTGTGTCTAATCTGATGTTTAACCCATCCATTTCATTTTTACCTTCAGTAGAACTTTATAAAGTTCCATTTCGTTCCCTTTCATGTCCGCCTGTTCTTTTATGATGTTTTTTTCTCCATAATGTCCTTGCTTTAGGGTTTCTGTTTCTTATTTTATCTCTTCCATTATTTTATGTATTCTTTTTTGTAATTGCACTCAGAGACTACTCTTGCCTGTGGTCCCTGTGTATTTTCTTATTCTAACTTTCCTTTTGGGATAGTTTCTTTGTGTGCTTGATGTTTTCTTGAGAGATTATTTTTAGCAGAAGGTTTTTGTCTTGCTTTGTGGTGGTGGTGGTTTATGGGTTGTTTTTTGTTTTTGTTTTTTACTGAGAGTCTTCAGTGCCCTCCATTGTGAAAATTTCCCTCCAGTGTGGCTTTGCAGTCACTTCTTCTGAGTACTTGGAATTATAGCTCGGGTTGTTCTGCAAGCTGAAGAAGGCAAGAAGGGAGAATGAACAAATTTAGGATGAGCAAATCACCTTAAAAAGGTAGCCTGTCTCTCCTCCCAGGGTAGGTGACTGAGCTGAGTCAGTACTGTTTGTCTCTTTGCCTCACAAACTCGTGAGATCCGCATGTCTTGTCTTACTTCAGTGCCAAGAGGCCCAGGAGTACAAGTAACAGAAACCTAGTGCAAATAGGCTTTAAACAATTAGGTAATTGGCTATGTGATTTAAAAGGGCAGAGGTGGCATGCCCGTGACCTCCTGCATCCATCAAAGTCCATTGTAGATTAAGAACCTTTCTCTGGAGTCTTCCTTTTCATCTCTCTGAAACACCACTACCAGGTTGGTCCTTTGGAATCATCGTTCCGAACACGTCCCTCTCTGGCTCAAACCCCTTCTTCACAGGCTTACTTTAATGCCTCTAGTAGAAAGTCCACATCACTTTGGTTGGCCTTCTAGGCCATTCGTTTCCCCAGCTTTATCTCACCTGATAGATTCATCTTCACATATCCTTAAATTCATTCCACCCGACCACTCGCTCCCCCCTTAACTGACCCTTCTCCGAACTCCCAGCGGGACTTCTCCAGAACACTGGCCCATAGCTTCTGCATTGTTGTGTACTTGAGTTAGTTGTGGCCATGTCTCATACCACCCCTTCGGTTCTCTCAGTTCCTCGAGGCTGCAAGCCTCGTGTCGCTTATTTTCCAACTTCCTGTGCCGCCTAGCAGAGGACACCTCACAGAAGAGCTGCTCCAGGTGGCCTGAATGAACCTGGGCCCTCCCATTCCTCTAGGTTGGGACAGGCTAACGGCTCCTGCATCACCCAGGGGAGTTACACGTGCTTTAGGGGGTTCTCACAGGACACCACTGTCCTAGGACTCGTTGCTTTGGTGCAGGTCAAAGGCTCAACCCTGGAAGTGAGCCTGGGGACCAATGCTGGAGAGAGAGCCAGCTCTGCTGCAGGGTCTCCCTCCGTCTCTGACTCCCTCTTAGGTAGGCGCCGCTCCGTTACCCTTCCTTCAGGACGCTTTCCTTACCCAGCTATCCTCACGGCCCCTGTGCAGCTTCCAGACTGTCCTGTGTGCATACCAGATGTCTTCCAAGTCAGGAGCCCAGGCGGTGTTTTTTAGGGCCCCTTGGTGTACCCTCTCCCACAGGCCCTGCGTACAGCAGGGGCTCACAGTGCACATCTGTTGCTCACGAGTCTGTTCAGGTCAATGATGACATTGTGTGCCAGTCTGCCCAGCATGCACCCCAGAGTGAGCAAGATGGCGTGAGTGAGGACCTGGGAGCCACAGAACCTGATGGAGCTGTTTGGTGCCCACATTTATGTTGAGCAGGGGCCTTGTTCACTGCTGTCGTGAGCCTCATAAAGGGCCTGGCCCACGGCAAAGCCTCCCATGTCAGTATTTAAATGAAAGAATGAATGAGTTAATGGGCGCATCTTATCTCCTCCGACAGATTACAACAGCAGTGAGTTGAAAACGGCCTGCAGGAAGCATGAGCTTTATGTGAGCTTCCAGGACCTGGGCTGGCAGGTGAGTTCTCTGGACAACAACGGGAACAAATGTCCTTTCCCATCTTGATGGCAGTGGCTGTCCTCGAAGAACTTGAGCTTTAGGGCCGAGGTGATTCCCATGTGAAGGTACTTGGGAGCTCTTCCGGATGCCTGGGCTTCTGGAGGAAGGCAGAGGAAGGACCAGGCTCCTTGTGGACCAGCACCGCCCCCCCACCCCTACATCTTCCCAGGGAGCCAGGTTCCCATTCTTTCAGAATCCATGAGGCATGGTCTTTGGCGTTTGTGTTTTGAGAAAGGGTTGGAGAAACTGATCTAACAGTTATCCAATGGCTATACATTGACTCACCCAAATTATCTAGAAGAACGCAAATGGGTAGCCCCACACCTGAGAGCCACCACTAGTTTATAAGAAGTGAATTCTAGGTGACAAGTGATAGGAAATCGAGTTTCTATATGCAGATGGTGTTATGACAGGGTGTACTCGAGGCTCCTTTGGGTCCGGGTGCCTAAAGCCAGCCCCCCTGTGCTTCCAGGCCTCGCAGGTGGGTAGCAGCTAAGGCTTTGTGGGCCTGTGAAGGGGGAGAGCACTCTGGAGCCAGATGAACTAGGCTCACCCCCTAGCTTTTGCCACTAGAACATGAACGTGGCCTCCCTGGGCCTGCCTGCCCAGCTGTCCAGTGCGAGGAGTCCATTGTCACAGGATTCCTGGAGCGCAGATGATGTAAGGAGTGTATGCTGATCACATGTGGGGTCCTTTTGCTTTCACCTAAGGACTGGATCATCGCACCCAAGGGCTACGCCGCCAACTACTGTGATGGAGAATGCTCCTTCCCACTCAACGCGCACATGAATGCAACGAACCACGCAATCGTGCAGACGCTGGTGAGCTCCCAGGGACCCCTTTCGCTTTAGAGGTAGGAGTAAGCCGAGACCAGGTATGGCTTCTAACGGTGCCTTTCCCCTTCTGTTTTGCAACAGGTTCACCTTATGAATCCTGAGTATGTCCCCAAACCATGCTGCGCGCCAACCAAACTAAACGCCATCTCAGTTCTTTACTTTGATGACAACTCGAATGTCATCTTGAAAAAATACAGGAATATGGTTGTCAGAGCTTGTGGATGCCACTAACTCGAAACCAGTTGCTGGGGACACAAATACGGCCTTGGGTTCCCAGATGACATCTGCCTTAAAAAACAAACATTCAGAAGCACGGCGAAGGGGGAGGCAAGGCTTTGAAGCCGCCCCGGGCTGGTTGGTGCCTTACCGCCCAAGCAAGAACTTAAAGGGCCTCGTTAAGAATTTGCTCACACGGTAGATAACGTGGGCAGTTGCTGGTCTGCAGGAAGCGGGGTTTGGATGTCTGTAGTGTGAAGTCTGGGAACTACAGAAATGTAACTCTGAAGGGTTCCCCCCAACCCTCCCCCAAAAAAAGAGCCCACCAAAATTAGTTTTAGCTTTAGACCAAGCTATTTGTGGTGTTAGTGAGTCAATAGGGAAAATAATCTTAAAGTAGTAAGAGTACTCTTGGCTAAAGTACCAGCCGGTTCTGTAGTGTCCGTCAGAGGTAGATCTATATAGACAACGGGAACTGGGCGGAAATGCCTCCCTTCACAGACGGCCTCAGCGCAGGGCAGGTTCAAGCAGGGGCAGCAGCCCGGGCCGACCCGGGGGCTCCGTGAAGTGCCTTTTCTTTCCGCCCCTGCCCTTAGCATTTGTGCTGGAGTTCTGTCCGTGTGAAAATACACTCATTTCGGTCAAACCAACCGTGTCATTTCCACACCTCAGTCCCTACCCCCCCCCATTAGCTGTTCTCCTTGCTAGCACCCAAAGTAGAGCAAGCGGGTGTTGCGGGGAGGCTGGGGAGGCACGTTAGCCGGGCGCCGCGGGAAACCAGTGCTGCACCTCTTCTCTCTTGGGATGGCTCTCCGAAAAGCACATTCACTCCAGGAACGCCAGCTCTAATATTTCACCTATTTCAGTAAAATGGTTCCATGCCTTTTCCTTGACAGCATGCCAAGTGGCGGGGTTAGGTCCAGCAAAGGGAACAAAATGGGGAAGGACCGCCAGGAGAGGGTCTGGCTAGGCATGCCCTTATGAACCCAAATCCCAGTTTTCTCTTGTAGAAAGGAAGACTCAGATGAAATCGTAGAATATTTTTAAAGTGTCTTTTTCACGATCATGTACTAGGAAGCCAATTTCATACTAAACTGATTAAATAATACATTTATGATCTAAAACTGTTTGCACTTACAGCTTTTTTGTAAATATAAACTATAATTTATTGTCTATTTTATATCTGTTTTGCTGTAACATTTAAGGAAAGACCAGACTTTTTTTTTTTTTTTAAAAAGTTTATTTAGAAAGTATCATAGTGTAAACAAATTGTACCACTTGGATTTTCTTTTAATACAAGACTCATGATGCAAAGCTGAAGCCACTCATGAGGATTGTGCTTCTCTAGAAAGTTGGGGTTTTTAAAAGACCATCTGTGAACCATACATAATTAATAAAGATTTCCTTTAAGGCAGAGACTGGCCGAGACCCTGCTCTGTTGTCTTCTGCCGCAGGCAGCACAAGGGACCTTGTTTCTCAGGGTCCCACCCCCAGTGACTGTGTGTCCACTGACCGCACCCACCCCAAGCATGGGAAGTGGGGCGAAGAGCGTTGGAAAGGGAGGGATTATGATGAGAAGTAACTTGATGGCCAAGAACATACAGGTACATATCCGCAGGGAGCCTAGTCCGATGGGTGCTTCTTTTCAAGTGTGACAGTAAAACTGCTTAACAACTAGGATGGCGTGGCTGACAAGGGTGCTGGCAAGGGCGGTAATGGGGCCCGAGTCAGCCCTGACCCAGCCCCACCTAGCTTAGTCTTTGGTCTTGAGGCCAACTGGATCCCACTCTTCACACACACAGAGTTGACCTCTTCCGAGGCAGACAAAGTACAGTAAGCCTCTAGAACAACTACCCAGAAGCAGGATCTGAAGCTGCTTCCAGCTGGGGGGCCTCCCTGGTTCCGATACCCGGGCCTGGGAAGGCTCACCTAAGCCCTCTCGCCCCAGGTGACAACAACCAAAATTGTTCTAGGAGTTAACAGAATAGTCAGGACAAGCCTTGTGGAATTTCCCATGCCCACGTTTTCTGTGGGAGACATCAAGTCTTTGTGATGACCTAACAAGAAGTCTTCCAGCCATGGGATAACAGAAGCATCGAGAGAGAGAGAGAGAGACACACACACACACACACACACACACACACACACACACACACACACACGAGGTTATGGCACCAGCATTCTCTTACCCAGGCACGTGTCAGAAGTACCACTGCCTTCATTATGGCTGACCTCTCACCATAAGAGGAGTATTAACAGAAACAGCAAAGCCAGGAGTGGATGTGGAGGTATCTTCCAGAGGTGTGGGGTTTCTGTTTTTAGATCTGCTCCAAGCTACTAAGCAACACATTATTAAGAAGTCAGTTTTGACCTTCAGATCAGGAGTATCACTACTGCCGCCGTCCGGAGCCCGTGAGCAGCTCACAAGCGACGCTTTAGATGACGCGTCATGCACCACAGTCACTCAGGAGCCAAAAAGAGTTCAGCAACTTGATTTTCCTCAGCTCTATTTTAGTCTCAAAGGAAACCACTGAGATTCCTCAAGAGAAGGGTGAAGGGGATGACAGATCGCCACGGAAAATAGTTTGTGAAGGGATCGTGAGTTACGATCCCTCTAAGTAAGTTTACTTAGAGAAACTTAGTAAAGAATCTGTAGACAGTGTTGGCTTAAAAAACACACACACAAAGAAGATACCACAAGTTTAGTACATTCAGCTCTCCGAAAACCCACCAGGTGAGAGTCCACAACACCGGCATGATTCAGCTCCAACAGCCGGGGCTCAGGCGGCCGGGCGACGGGCCAGTGGGCCCTACAGCTCGTCCCTGGCCTGACGGAGGACGAAGCGGTGCAGCGAGTCGAGGTCCCTGCCGCCGCTGTGCTCGCTGACTCTCCGCCCTCCGCGGAAGAGCAACAATGTGGGATAGCCTCGTACCTTTAAAAAAAAAAAAGTATGAAGACCAGTGGTCCAGGTCACACGCAGATTGCTTCTTAAATAAAACCAGAAAAACTCCTAAAGTTGTGACCAGGAAAGTTTGTGGTTAAATTTTTAAAAGGTACAGACCATTTAAAAAGTACCAGCAAGCAAAGCCTTGGGGCTCCTCACTTTCCCATCCAAAAGTACATTCGAGATTAGTGTCAAAGGAAGGACTTGACCCAAAAGGAGAGCTTCTGGAGCTTTTGTGCGCAGGCCATCACCTGGGGCCCCGGCGAACACGCACGTCCTGACGCAGCAGGTCCAGCTGGGGCCTAAGACTCTGCATTTCTGACAAGCCCCTGGTGACACCCAGCCACTCTGCGGGCCACTCTGCATGGCAGCAGCATCCTCGAGAACACACATTTTCCAGCTGCAACAGCTGCAATGCACTTCTTTCCTAAGACGTTAAGGAACCAAGAAAACGGTATCTTCTAGTGAGAAGTAAAGGTCTATGCTACATCTGTATTTTTTTTTTCTCCCCTAAAGATTTTATTTATTGAGAGAACATGCACTTGCAAGCAGGGGAGGGGCACAGGGAGAGGGAGAGAGAATCTCAAGCAGACTCCCCGCTGAGCGTGGCCCCCCCCCCCCGACATGGGGCTCCATCCCACGACCCTGACATCACAACCTGAGCTGAAATCAAGAGTTGGACGCTCAACCAACTGAGCCACCCAGGCGCCCCTAAGTTTATTCTCAAACGAATGAGGTAAGAAGCTCCAGAGCCTCAAAGTGCTTTAAGAAAACAACACAGGGCGCCTGGGTGGCTCAGTTGGTTAAGCGTCTGCCTTCGGCTCAGGTCATGATCCTGGAGTCCCAGGATCGAGCCCCACGTTGGGCTCCCTGCTCAGCAGGGAGTCTGCTTCTCTCTCGTGCTCTCTCTCATTCTCTCTCTCTCAAATAAATAAAATCTTTTAAAAAAAAAACAACACAAAAACAAAAACGCAAATTACAAATCTTCTGGGCACTCAGACTGTGCTAACAGCTCAGAAAGCGGAAACAGTTAAACAAAAGACCCAAGCACAGACTAGCTTGCTGGGATGGCGCTTTCAGGAGGAAGTTCAACTGCTTCCTTTATTCAACCATCGTACCTTAGAACACAGGCTTATGTCTGAAAGATAAGCCACTTAGGGGTTTGAGACAAAGGCTAAGGTCAGCTGACTGTTGAGCCAGCCGAAGAGGCTGTGGAGGTGGCACCCCATTCTCAAGCTTGGACTCTCGTTACTGCCCAGACTTCTCTGCGGACAGCAAGCCCTAAAATCCCCCAATGAAAGGTGGATCGCTAATGGGACAAAAGCCTTTCCTTTGACAGAGCATCTCTTTTGCTTTTCAAAATGAGAACAAAGCAGGAGCCTCAACGGGACATGAGGAACACTTGGTCGAGAAGACGAAGGCAGTGCGGGTCGCCAGGTGGGGCCCAGCGCCCCGGAGGACGGCTCCATGTGGGTGCGCTCCCTGCACTCGGGGCCCCCGGGAGGGTTTTCAGCCACATGTACCCACCGAGTACTTGCTGCAAATATTCCGCTCTGCAGTGCAGTCCACCTCCGCAATCTTGACCTCTGCCAGACCAGGGAATTCCTTTCTAGAGAGTTCCTCCCACGTCGGAGCCAGATTCTTACAATGACCACACCTGGGAAGAGAACAACGACAGCGCTGTGGAAGTCCTGGGTCTCGCTCCCTCACCCACAGTCCGCTGCCCAGCCCGGCCCAGCGTCTTCTGTATGGCCTAGAAATTTATAAAACATCAAATTCTCCCGCTGGACGCCCTAACCTTTCCTCCTCCTCCGTCCCAGACGAGGGATTCAAAGTCAATCCCAAGTAGACTTGTGGATAGCCTAACAGAAGCAAGCTGGTCTGGAAGCGAGTTTAGATTCCAAGACCCTTTCCAGGATGGGGTGACCGGAGCTAACTGGCCTATGAATGAATCCGATGCACCATGAGCACGAGCTGATGGACAGGAAGCAAAACCAACTCCACACATTTTTTTAAAAATGCTTCATTTTAGATTTGATCACTGTGGTCTCGGTGTTTCAAGACGTTAAA